AAACAACTCATTGATTAATTATGTCAATTATAAATAAGCCAGCTCCCTACATAGATCAGAAATGAGCAATAATAGTGCAGTAAAAATTGTATCATTGATCTTGCACACCTTGATCTCACAACATGTAAAAATTCCAAATCATCTAACTGATTCATACACTAAAAATGGCAAGTTTTTTTTTATATATATGTTATCTTGTTGAAAAACATGAAAAAGTTTTGGTTAAGTCAACTTTACATGCATCAGTAACTTAATACCAAAATACAATGTGAGAAAACTTACAATTTATTTTGAACAACAAAAAATTCTAAGTACTAATACAAATATGGACAGACATTTTCACTTCTTCAATAAAATAAAAATTAGCCTCTTGATATTTTTTCTTAAATTATATAGTGAACTTAAAAATTAGCATTTTCCCCCCTGGAAAGTTATAATTTTCCTAATCTGAAAATGTATTTCCAAACATACTTACCTCCGCTGACACTTATAGCTATTTTTCAATCTTCATCTTTGCCATCTAAACATCATGTTCACTTCCTCCAGTCTTTATACCCCACTCGACTGTCTTTGGCAATATCTAATTTGCAAAAGTTTACACTGCTCTTCACACACCCTCCATGCAGGTACTGTATATAAGCACTATATGTCAACAATATAATCACTTTTTAGAGACTTACCCCATCCCAGGCACTAACACCAGCTCTTAGTGGTAAGTATGTTTGGAAATACATTTTCAGATTAGGAAAATGATAACTTCCAAAACATACATACCTCTGCCAATACTTATAGCAAGAATCCCACATTGAGAAGGTGGAGGGGCCAGTGAGGGCATAGTTCATACAGAAAGCATCTGCATAGAACAAAAATGCACCATAAGAAGTGGTACCCAAGCAGGAAAAACTGCACTACATCCCGAACTACAGAAAAGTGAAAAGGGAATATTACACAAGTAAGTATGATGGGCCAGTCCCAACCATGTAGTCGAGGTTCCATGACTCAGGGGGTGGATTTAAGGGGTCATGGTACCCATATCACCCATTAGTGGCAAGGGCAGTTGGACCACAAATATATACATATCTTTGTGATAGGATCCCCACCAGCAGCCACGAAAGTGGACAATTCTTCTGATCAACATGAAGAAGTCCAAAAGGCAACATCCCAGACTTGGATTGACAGGATTATATATGCAATACTCCACCCAAGGTCCAGAACTCATCCAGTCTGGATTTATGAACAGTCATTTTCACTCCCCAACCAAGTGGGCAAGGAGAATTCTACTTACCCATGGAATTATAGAGAGGATGTGGAACACTGTTCCAGAAGGGCCTAAGATGGGACCACGTTGCATTCGGGTTTATGAGAAGATAGTGGATCCCCTGCATGAACAACCTAATACCCTAATAATAACAACCTAATACATATAATAATATGTTCATAAGAGGGTCCAAGCACACCCCCACTGGATAGCTAAGTGTCAAATCTGGACCAGTTTTACAAGTAAAAAACTTTCAGGGACCCAGGTAGGAGGTCCCCAACTTTGCCCTCTTATTTAATTTATTTCCTTCTCTGGATAGAGCAAAAAAATAAGTGGAAGGACAGAGTCTGCTGAACAGGGGTGGCAAATAAATCAGAACAGCTGCATCCAGAAGCTAACAACAATAGAAATATACCTAGAGGGAAAGGTGATACAAAGAACAGGAGGCCATAGGTTTGAAGGGATAAAGTGATAACAGATGAAAAACAACTCTAAAATCCCAATTAGGCAATTGAAACTGTTGTTTGGGATGATGAAAGGATCATAAAATGAGATAGCACAGGAGTCAAAAACCTTTGTATACATAGAAGAGTGAAAGGGAGCAGTGAAGGATGTTATATATATTGCAAGGTAGAAGCCATGTCAAAATCTATGTAAACAAAACTTGAAACTATAGAGACTGTTGGATGAAGTGGTTTGAAGGCTCACTGAAGACACCACTGACAATATGTAGTCCATTTCCATCAATAGATTGCCATAGTAGGTTGATGGAGGATATAGTCAAATAAACAGAAACTGTAGAATTTAAACCTATAGTTGAGCAAACAACTGCATAACTTCCATGCATGAAGCTGGAGTCATTAAAGGTCCAGGCATTAAATGTTGGACTGAGGTTGTCTCAACAAGGATGAATGAAGAGGTAGTATTAAACATTCCTGGAGCAATTGAAGAATTGTCTGAGCTGGCCAAAAAGGTGCTGACAAGAGAACTCAACATGGGGTGAAAGGAATCATAGACAAGAGTCTAGGTAAGAGATGAATAGGAGGAAAGGCATACAAATGGATTCCTGTTCAGTCTTGACTGAAATCATCTATCACCAGAATTTATGGATGTGAAATTGAAGACCAGAACTGTAGGTTTGCATTCCAATGGGTTGCAAAGGTGTATATCATTGGAAAGCCAAACTGAGAACAAATCCATTGAAAAACCACCTGATGGAACATCCATGCTGATGAAAAAATCTGATGGAGTCGAAAAAGGTGATCTGCTATCAAAATCATAACTCCTGGCACATGACAGGTCAGAAGATGGATGTCATTAGAATAAGCAGAAAAAGAAGATCCAAAGCCCGAAAACCAAGACTTCAAGAATGAGAACTTCCCTGAGAAGAAAGATATGAAACCACTGTGGAGTAGTCAGAATGAATCATGACCCTTTTGTGTTGTAAGAGAGGAAGACCTGGAATCATCGCTATATGTACTGCAAGAAGTTTGAGAATGTTGATATGCAGGGTAGATTTGAAGTCAGTCCAAATACCCTGGAATGCCTACCCCAGAAGAAAGGCACCCCATCCATGAAGAGATGGATTTCCACACAAGGAGGTGGTAACAGGACCCTGATATTCGTGTTGTTCCTGTCTAGCCACCACTTGAGATCTGCAACTTGTTCGAGCAAAGTGACTGTGTGATCCAAAGGATCAGTACGCATAAGCCACTGGTTGCAAAATGACCACTGAACGGATCTCATATGGGCCTGATCCAATGGTATGAGGGATTCTAGGGAAGCCTAAGTCCCTAAAACAGGCAGAATCATCCATGCAGTGGGAGAAGGTGACATAAGCAAATGCCTGACAATCCCTTCCCTAGTGTGAAGTCTGAGGGAAGAAGGTAGAGCTTGACTCAAAGTGCACTGAAAAACACCCCAAGATAGAGCATGTATGGAGTTGGTGAGAGAAGGTTTTTCAACCTGATATGATGTCCACCCTTCTGGCTCCAAAAAGGAGAATCTGTGGATGTTGTGTGACAATGTGACAGGATGGTGCCAAAAGAAGTCAATCTTCCAAATAGCGATGTGTGCACAAACCTAGGAAATGAAGATGCTGCTCAAAGGCTCATACTACTCCGCAGAAAACATACGGTGCTGAAGCAAGTTTAAACGGGAGAGCTTGGAACTGCTACATCTGGTCTTCGTGCAAAAAATGTAGAAATCGACGAAAAGACTCTGCTATGGAGATGGGAAGGTAGGCATCTGAAAAATCAAACCTGGTCATCCAAAGATATGGTGTGAAGTGCCATTGAAGTTGAAGAAAAGATTCTATGGTGAAATGAGGAGGCAGTAGGAAGAAACTGAGTCAAGACAGACTGACGATAAGAGTCCAATCTCTAGTGTTCTTGGTCAGCAAAAAAAGACAAGAGTAGAATCCTGGATGAACGGGATCGACCTTCTGAATGAGTAGACACCAACGCCACAGGCGCCATCCCGACCTTCCAAAGATCAGCCAAGAATACAGACAGAACCGATTCTGTAAACCAATAGGACAAGATGCCGAAAGTGGAGGCTGTGAGATGCAAATGATCGATCCTCCAGAATTACCCATTGGGGTAGAAGTGAAGCAAGCAGCCAATGACAATAAAGAAAACTGCTGTATAAAATTGGGCCTCAAAAGTTTCAGGGTCTCCAACTAACTAGTAAGGCCAAAAAAGGGGCACCTCCCGGAAATCACGAAGAGGAGTATAACAATACAACAGTAATTGTTAAATTAATCCGCAAAAATGGAAATCTGCTAAGAGGGATAACAGGTTCTAACCTGGAACCCCATAGATCCAACAACAATCCAACTGTTGAGTGTCCAAATATTCTACAGCCAGACAATGATAAACCAGGGCATGTTGTTCTGCTAAATGAGGGGAGCAAGGCATAGCAATACTTTCTCGTAATTGCATTGCAAACATCCCAGCATAGACAGAAATATCAAGGGAAGGAGGAAGAACTAAGTAATCCCCCCCGCCAAGATCTATCTGAAAACAAGGCAGGATAGACTCAAAAGCAATTGGGTGAATCCCCAAAGCTTCACAAACTCACGTAACTAACTGCAGAAAAGAGGCACAAGGTGGCCAATTAGATGAGCCCTCAGTAGAGGCAGCTCGAGTGAAAGAAGGAGCAGAAAACAGTGTCTAAATTCTCCCCAGTATATGCAGGTTCATGATGAAAAGCCAATTCTGATTAGAATTCATACCCACATTTTTTTTTGAATTGCAAAAAAAAAAGAAACCAATGAAATATTGGCAATGGACTACTGTCAAAATGCTTAAAAATAAATTTCTAACCACAAAACATAACTCCTAGCACAAGCGCTTTGTTGATAAAAAAGTGATTATATTGTCAACATACAGTGCTTATATACAGTACCTGCATAGGGGGCGTGTGAGGGCCAGTGTAAAGTTTTGCAAATTGGATATTGCCATGGGCAGTCAAGTTGGGTATAAAGACTGGAGCAAGCAAGCATGATATTTACATGGCAAAGATGAAGATCAAAAAATTGCTATAAGTGTCAGTGGACGTATGTATGTTTTGGAAGTTAGTATTAAAATCTGAAGTAGGGTTAATACTCATATGTTTAGAGGCAACACATTTCATTAAAATGGGCTTATTAACAGCTTTTAAACATAAATACAGTTGATATATTTAGCACAAGATCACAGAAACAAACATTTAAAAAAATTAGAACAAAATTAATGTTCACCTGAACTAGATGACGTGGACTGCTGTAGTATCTACTTGGGGAACCCTAAAAAAAGATGGCATAACACACAAAGCATAGAGAACAATGAGCAACAATAACAAAACATGCACAATAACAAAAGTTGTTGGATTAAAGCATAAAGTTAGTGAGTAAACATTTTGACTTTACAAATAAACACAGCATAACAGAAGAGAGCAGCTTGAAACCTTTTAATAGAATAGCTTACAGCAACAAGAAAAAGAGAAGTTAACTTTTTTCTAAATAGACTTCATATAAATGTACACAATTTATTTTATGTATTGGTGATTATTAGTGCTGAAGTGGTTACACATATTTTTGGTTCCAATGTTCTTATATGCTAAAAACACTAGTCTTGTTGTTGTTTTTAGCTTATCCAGTAAATAACGAGTCATTTTCTCAATCTTCACTTATTACATACCTATTTTGGTGATAAAAAGTTGGTATAATGTATGCTATAGTCTATTTGCCACCTTCTGTACCTCAGATGTACTTTAATTTACAAGGATTCTATTAGCTTGTTCCCAAAATGTCCAGGTACTGGTTATCCTATACTATATTAATTCATGATGTATTTGTGAACCTTACAGCAGAGCATGGGCACTTTAGGTTAGTACTAGAAAACATTCAGTTATTAAATAATTCAAACCCATCAATCTACTATGAGAAAGTTTTACCAGTTACTAATTATTCTTTAATCCTGAAGGAAGTTTCTTAAAAAAATATCTATATAAATTGGATATAGTAATGCTCCAAAAATTAGATACTCTGAGCTTCTCAACATGCAATATGAGAATGAAATCCCATTACTAGTTTAGATATATCAGAACTGGTTACTTTAATAAGTGTTAATTATGACACATAAATATGAATATTTCTTCACCTGATAAGACCCAGCTGAAGAAGGTGGTGCAGGACCAGAAGGGACACAATGCTGTAAAGCTCCATAATAAGCTTGATAGGCCTATAACCAATTCAGTAAAGCACAGTTATGTAAAAGAGAGAGAGAGAGAGTAAGAGAGAGAACCACAGTATTGCTAAACTTCATAATGACATAATTAAATCACAAAATAATAATAGTTATACAAAATTAACATTTTCCTAAACCAAAAATGTATTTCCGATAATACTTACCTCCTCTCACACTATAACTTTATCCCAACGAAAGGTTCTCTTCTTTTGCCCATCTAAGCATTGGTATGAATTCTACATCACTTGCTCCAGTCTTTATACCCCACTATATGGCCCCTAGAGATTTTAATTTTGTGACTATCTCCACCTATGTCAATGCACTCTCTATACCCAATCCGTATATAACCTCTCCATTATTCTTTCTTATTCACTTTTTTGAGACTGGCCAGATTATCTTACCCAAACACCAGCTATCATTGGGAGGAAGGGTGGGAGGTGATTGCTATCAGAGATACATTTTCGGTATAGGAAAATGTAAACTTCTGAAACATACTTTAGCTAGAATCCCACATTGACAAGCTGGAGGGGGGGGGGGGGCAAGATCCACACAGAAAGCATCTGCCTGGAAAAAACAGGTGTGAAAAATTGAGATATAATAAAGCACACGATGGCCAGACAGTTTGCTACTGAATATTTCGTTCCCAGACATTTTGCTACCCGTCTTTTTGTTACTAGAATATTTCACTACCTGATAATTTTATGTCATAATCTTCCTTACATATCTTATTTGAGATCATAAAATAAAATAATTTCATTAGTATTAGTTCATTAGAAAAACACTGCAGTCAGTAAAATATTAGAAAATATTGGTAAATATTTCTTCAATATTAGTTTATTAGAGAAACACCCCTTCAAATTAAAAAAAGGCTCTTCTGTTGTAAAACATTTTATTTAAAATGATGAAAGATATAAACTTTTTAAAAATGATTCAGGCTTTCCTCAAGTAACTGTCCAGCTACTGTCTTGATTAGTAGTTGAGCAATAATGAGTTATTTATAGGTAGCTGGAACAGATAGCAAAATGACCTGCTAGCAAAATACCCTAGTAACAAAAAGACTGGTAGTGAAATGTCCAGGAATGAAATTTTCAGCATCAAACTGTCCTAGAACCAAAGCACACTAGTGGGGGTCTGCACTACTTCTGGAACAGGTATGCTTTTTGACCAGATAAAGAGAAATCTAAAAGGGGGCAGTAAAGGCCAACTGGCTACAGAATCAACATTGTACATTATCATGAACAGACGAGGTTCCATGTCTTGTCGTTTGAAGTATAGTGCAGTGGATGCAAGCTGGATCCAAGGTGTAGGGGCTAGGGCATGGGGACCACAATATGGTATAATTTTATAATAAGAATATGATATGAAGGGAATTAAACCTGAATTTTTTCATGTCAAGCCACCGAAATTATGAAGGGAAGGCAAACAACATCTAAGTGGACAAACCCTCACTACAGCCTGAAGAAGCACAAAATGCAACAAACCAAATTCAGAATTATGGGCCTTGGCACCCAACTTGAAATTTACAGAATATGTCATATGTGAGCCCCTAGGATTACGAAGGGAAGACAAGCAACATTCAACTGGACAAGTCTTCCCCCTCCAACCTGAAGGAGCACAGAATGCAACAAACCAAACACAGAATTATGGAGCCAATCCACACCTCACTCAACCTGAAGAAACACAGATAAACCAGCCTGGGATTACACACCAAAATCCTAACTACTCAACCTGGGGGGCAAGGCAACACCTCCTGCCCCTAGGATTATGAGAAGGATGTGCAAAATTATGAGGAGTCAAGGACCCTTTTCCATGATCATGGAAAGTAAAAGAACAATGAAAAAGAAGGGCCCTGCTCACACAACTTGATAGCAAAGTGCCATCTCTGAACCAGAATTATGAGGCTCCTGCATAGGCTTGTTTGGCTCCCCACCAGACATCTAGGAAAACCATCCATGGTTAAAGGTGGGAGGGCATCCAGCTTCATCCTTTTCTCCTGAGTGGAATAAAGAGTACAAAAATCACTTAAGAGGAATAAACCTCTGTCCACCACTTCAGCAACTGGAAACAGACAGTAGCAAGAACTCCCTTGCTCCACAAGAAGTGAAGGGGGGTAGTCCTTAGGAATGATGCTATGAAGACAGTACAATAAGTGAACTATATTCCCTATTTTGAAAAGCTAACCAACCCCAATTTGTTCAATTTAGGGGTTAACATGGATGAGCAAATTCCATTTATGCTTTACTCATGATAGTCCACTGAGTGACAGTCCAGTACTGGATATTATATTTGATATAGAACAATTGTTCACCACCCAGAAAGTGCTAAGGCAATCTTATGGAACACCCCATCTCCACAGAGCTCATTGCTACCAGGAATTTAGTTTTTAGACTACTGGTAGCTAGTGCAGATTTGTAAAAGCACACCTAACCAGGCAACACTTGCAACTGTGTGGGATCCAAATGAGAATGGTGAGAAGGTTCCTGAGAAGAAGCGCAAAAGAAAAAATACCTCTGTCACAATTGAGCCTGGGTGTGTAGAATAGCTATGGAGGGGTGGGACAAAATCCACCTGAGGAGCAGACTGCTAAAACATGTGGTAAGTGTGGTCACAAACCAGCCTGTACAATTTCCTTCAGCAGGCAATGCAAACGAATTACCAGGTATATTAATGTACGTCAAACTTGATGAGATGAGACCTGAAGAAGTCTCCACTCCTCTAATGAATGACCAGGGTAAGCTATCCAAACCAACTGAAGAACCCAACTTGTCAAAGTGACGGGATAAGCCGTGTAATACCAAAGGATCCCAATGGATAAATAATGAGTGATGTGAGCCCCAAAATGCTTCTGTGCATGTTGCGTAACAAACAAGTGCCTGAACAGGGCATAAAAGATGATCTGGATCCAAATGATCATATAAATGGGAAATGGAGGGAAGATGAATAAGAGAGAGAGAAAGCTTCACCTCCTTCCTTAGCTGCTGCAGTTTTAGGCAGAAAGGCCCTGTCTGGATACAACAAAACATAGTTGGAATGGTACAGTGTTCTGGGAACATGAAGCACAAACACATCTGAACATTTATGCCCACTAGCCAATAACAGAAGAAAATGATTTAAGTGAAAAATGATACAGTGAACCTGACCCCAAAGGTTCAAAAGGTAGACATGATAATGCATAGAGAACCACTGTGATATCCCAATAAGGAACCTGGAAAGAGAGATGAGGATGGACAACCCAAATGGAGTTCAAAAGTAATGACAAAACCAGGGATTCAAAAACTTTTCATCTCTTATAAAAACAAAAAGTAGCTGATAAGGCAACCTTATACTAGACAATAGATAAAGGTACCAAACCTTTGTTAAACAACATTGTCAAAAATTAAGAGACATGTGGCACAGTGGGATGCAAAGGGTTAAGCAACCCATTTCCTTTGATAAGCTTCCAAAGAACAATGTGAATGAAACGTATTAATAAGAATGGCAGTTGAGACATCAATCCCTGATGTTGTGCAATGGACTGCACAAAAGCCAGGCATGAAATCGAGGAATGCCAACTGCTGGATGGAAAACGACCAAGACTGATGTACAAAAGATGGCCAGGGAGGAAGAGGTGGACACTCCTGAAGATACTTGAGGAGTGGAAACTAAGGCTGACACAGCCAACATGGTGCCACCAGAAGAACTCAATAGAACATGGAGCAAATCAGTGCCAGAACATAGGAAAGCAGATGAATCAGATGAAACGCATAAAGATGAAGACCCATCCAATCCTGGCTGAGACTATCTACTCCCAAAGCCAGAGAATGAGGCCAGAAGGATGAAATCTGTGCATTCCAGTGTGTGGTGAAAGAAATGATCTGTGATGTCCCTAGATAAGAGCAGATCTAATGAAATACTTGAGGATGAAGTAGCCATTCCATAGGAAGATCTATGTTGGGATGAGATAACTGGTCGGCTACTAGATTCATTACCCTTGAAACATAACAAGCAAGGAGAACAATCTGGTGCTTGTGTGCCCAAAGGACAAGATCCACACTTTGAAAACAAAGAGATCTGGAGTGAGCCCTTGCTTTGAAATGTACAAGACTATCATGGAACTGTCCGAATGAAGCATTATCTTGCAACAATTTGAGATCCTGAGTCATACCTTGTTAAATTACTAAAAATTCTAAGAGACTGACATGAAGAGAAGCTTCTTCTATTGTTCAAAATCCCTTGAATTCCATATTGTATATACAAGCACCCCAGCCCTGAAAAGAAGCATCTGTTGAAAGATGTATCTCTGGCTGTGGAGGTAGTAGAGGGACACTTACTGTTGTGTTGTCCCTGTCAAACTACCAAGTAAGATCCAGCAAACTGGAATCTGACAGTCGAACTGAACAATCCAGCACATATATGCAAATGTTTCACTGGTCCTTTAGGTAGGGCCCACATGAATGAGTGATTCCAAGGCTGCCCAAAATAGACCAAACTGTGCATGCCAGCAGAAAAGGAGACAACTGTATTACAAGAACTGCCCGTTCCACAGCCTGTAGGTATAGAGGAGAAAGTTAGGCCTGGCTTAGTCTGGATGAGGTACTGTGTGGAAGTAAGAATAGATCTCTCCTTTTTGATAAGAAACCCAGCTCTCACAGCTTCTGATAACAGAGTTTGAGTGTGGCAGGAAGAGAAGAAGCCAGTCATCCACGTCATGGTGAGTGTGAATGTCGAGGGAGTGAAGATGATGTGAAAAAGCTCTGACTATCCAGCAAAAAATATATGGAGCAGATGCAAGGCTGAATGGTAGAGCTAGAAACTGAAAAACATGGTTGTCATGCACAAAATGGAGATAATATCTTTAAGACTTAGCGATTGGGATATAAAGGTAGGCATCTTCGATATCAAATTTTTTCATCCATAGTATGGGTGAAAAAAGCCACTGAATGGAAAGAAATGACTACATTGTAAACTGAGGAGAGCTGGAGGAAGTGATTGAAACAGACGAGAATAAAAACCCTCAAGAGAGAAAGAAGGTGATGCACACTATGGCCTCTTTGTGCAGAAGATCCTGAATGGCTTGTGCTCGACGGTTGGAAGTAAGAAGATCCTTGGGGAGTGAAAAGCCAACCAGTATGAAAGACAGAGTTGGAGAAGATGGGAACTAAATGACCAATCCATACCTGAGAACTTGAATAACCCACTGATCTGTGGTGAATGTCTCCCATACTGACACGAACCCTTTGAGACAAGACCCCACAGGACCTGATCCCATAAGGTAGTCACTGATGGCAAAACTGTGCTCCACCCTGTAAGAGAATCACCACTGTTAAGGTTGAAATCGCCCTGTGTTCCAATGTATCATGGCACCAAAGCAGGAGGTCTGGAAACTCGAACAGGAAATGTAGTAAACCTTTATGTAGAACAACTGTGGGACACTCAAGAAGCCAGTGTAGAAGGTGAAGAATGTAGATGGGTCACATATACTTGAGATTCCATGGAGTCTGGAATTCCCACAAAAATAGACTGTCTGAGAAAAGGAGATTCTCTGAGATATAATGCCAAGGCATGCTGATCCAAAAAACGAGAAGGATGAGGCATGGTAACACTCTCCCTCAATTGATCTGCAAATGTCATTGCACGTACAGCAATGTCTGGCAAAGTTGGAAGGAACAGGTAATCAGACGATTTAATTTCTCCCAATAAAGAAGGTGATGATTCATAAGCCACAGGAAAAATACTCAAAACATTACAAACATGGCATACTAGTTGTAAAAAAGGTGCAAGAGGCAGAATATCTGTCCGAGATCCGTGAGTAGCTGTCTGAACAAAGGAAGGTGTTAGAAAAAGAGAGTATAAATTCTCACTAGACCACAATGAAGCCTCTACTTCTCTGTTTATAGGTGCCCTCCCTCCAATGCCCGAGTAACTTTAGACTTGCAAGATGGTAGAGGAGGAACATCAAGCAACTCCGTGTTCAAAATGTGAACTTCATATTTGAAAAACTTTTCCAAAAAAAAATTTTTATGGTAAAATTAAGAAAATAAACAATAAACTCAAACCCCATGAAAAATATCTAAAATAATTCAAAAGTTGCAAATGTAGTAATAGCACTGATGAGAAACATGAGGACTGTCTTCATAATTTTTGCTACTGAGAAAAAAATGAATAATAGAGATTAACGGGGAGCTTATATACAAATCGGGTATAGTAGGTGCATTGACATAGGTGGAGAGAATCACAATATTAAAATCACTAGGGGGCAATATAGTGGGGTATAAAGACTGGAGAAAGTGAGGTAGAATTCATACCAATGCTTAGATGGGCAAAGAAGAAAACTTTTTGTCCAGATAAAGCTAAAGTTGGAGTGGAGGTGTGTTTCAGAAGTATATTTATCTTAATATTCTTTTAACATATTTGTTTATTGTCTTATATGTTGCTTCCAATTATGTTCTTCTCTGCATTACAAACCTGAGTAATAGACAGGTGTTCAGATTAGGATGATGCTAGTGTAAGTTTTTAATAAAACAGATGCATGAAAAAGCCATCAGTTAATAGTACACAATAAATATTTTAAAATGAGGCTGATCCCAGTATCTGATGATGATACAGTAAGATGTCAAAACATGTAGTGTACAAGACTGTTCCAGTCTCACAATATTTTATCTTTATACAGTAAATTCTCATGTGAAACAAATTTTTTTTATTGTATTTTGAGACTTTGAACAGTCTTAATTTTAAAATACTTATTGTTTAGTTTAAAAATTGGCTTCTTTTAACATGTGTTACTAACAAACTTGTAAACTTCAAACTATAGCAAATTTCTTAATAATAGCTTTTACCTTAACTTTTAGAGTTCAAAATCTAGTAAATAAAGCAGTAAAAAAAATTCAAACAAAAATTCACATTTTAATCTTTCATTGTAAATGGCCAATTACCAAAAAGTTTTTGAACCCAAAACTAATTAAATCAGAAATACACAGATATGCTGAAAAATATCTATAAAGTTTTGAAGGTTTCAGTAAACTAATCCAGCTCTTATTATACAGTTTTGTAATACAAAATTAAATAATAAAATTTTTGTAAAAAAAAATTACTCTGACAAGTGATCGTACATAAAATTTTGTTTACATGTACATAAAGAAGTCGCAAGATAAAATGTTTATTTAGGTTTAGTGGAAGATCAGAGAAGCATAAAAAAGTACTATAAAATAACTTAGAACAGGTACATATCTACAAGATAATACTGAATTTGTAATTTAAAATTGTATATGAAACATTTATTTTAAAAAACTAATCACAATAAGGCCAATATAATCTCATTCTTAATATTGCATATGTACATGGGGAAATGGCACACGAAAACACAAAATCAGATTACATTCATATTATGCTTTACTAGTCTATAAAGAAAATGAATTCCAAAACATGCATGTCACTTCACATTTATAACACAAAATCCATATTTAGAGTTTCAAGTTACACAAACATCAAATTCATGTGACAACAGAACAACATCAATGACGTGCATTGTTCATCACCTTCGTGAGTCCAGGAGTGCTTGGTTTTCCTAATCCATACAGATAATGCTTTGCATACGATCCCTGTGAGAGCCATGATAAACATGGGAAAAATGTTCAAAACAAAAACACAGAAAAAGGAATAAAAATTTCAAAATTCCCAACTAAACAAGATACACAATTCTCAAGTTTTGTGCAAGAAATTAAAAGTGAGCAAAGTAAACACACTGTGCATAATTTACAAAAAAATGAAGGCTACAAACTTCTGTTAAAATGTTACGCAATGATACAAATAAATTTCAGTCTGATTTTCAAAGCTTATTAAACATAAAATCAATCCACATTATAAAAAAAAATTTAAGCTATTTTGCAATGACTTTAATACATATGACTAGGTTGTAAATTATAAACAAAAAGTATATATTTTGGAAATATTCTGCAAATCAGAATTCATACAGATGTATAATGCAAAACAAGCAAGCAGCCAATATGACTTTCAATAGCCTGCATAAAGAAATATAATAACCTATTTTTGACCTCAAGCATACTAAGCACAATGATCATAAAAATAATTTTCACTTTTGAAAATTTGCAAAAAGATGTCATGAAATCTTACTAATGTGACAAAATTCGAAGCTTGTAGGACCAGATTAATACATAGGCATGATTGATAAAATCTTGTTTAGAATATGTTTATAAATATTGACCTTAATATTAAAGCAAACTTAAAAAGACAGAAATAGATACAGTATATTTGTGCATGTTGTCCCAATAGTTTTAGTTTGTTTTAGAAACATTATCCACATGTTCAAATCAGTTTACCCAAAATGTTAAAAAATAACAACATATGGAACATTTCCTACATGTTCTGTGAAATCTTAAACCTTCATTTATGAAAATACCTCCATAATACCATAATATTTATAAATATTATAAATCATAATAATAAACCGACAATCATAAATATTATGATTTATCATAATATTTATGAGAAAATTAAGTGGTAAGATATATAGAATCACATTTTATTAATCTTATTTAAATATAAACAAAAAAAAATAAGAAACACACCTATATTTATATAACAAAAATATAATTCATTCAACAAATATACTGTATCAAATAATGTTTTACCTGCTTTAAATGTGACACAATTATTACATCTATGCTAAATACACATGATATGTATCATGAAAATAATAAAATATTTATTTAAAAGTACTTGTTTTTCATCTTTTTAAAAGACAAGATTTGAATTTCCATTGTTTTATATTCTCTGTACTATTCTTTCTTGTGATATATGGAAAATTGCATTTCAATATTAAGTATTTACGTATATTGTATGCAAATAACCAGCCTATGTAAGTATTCAGAGGACAAAGGTTATCCCTGAGATCAATACAAATCTACATCAATAGCACTTAAAATAGTCAAAACACAAGTGTTTCTACCTACACTATGCTTTTTTTTATCAGTTTCACTTTCTTTCATAACAAAATTCATTTCTACATCAAATCAATTCAGTTCCAACACTGTTGAAAGTGGTATGACTTTATAGATGATTTTGTCAATGATGTCTTTTCCAATTGCCTAAACCATCTTTATGTTTGTTGTTAATTGGTTGTATATCACCTTCAATGTCATCATGCCTGAGAATTGTTGCACTGTTGGCTGTTCCACTCACAGATTTAAGAATAAACTTTCAAAACTCTGATTTTTCAAATTTCCAAGAGATCCAAAATACAAATACATTGGATAAATGCAGTAAAGTGAGATAATTGGGTTCCAACTAAATGGACAAATATTTACAGCAAACATTTTATATTAGTTATATATGATACATTAGTATCACTATTAACCTAAATCAAATGTACACCTTGTTACATCTTAAGATTTAAGTTATGAAAAGTCAAGGCTGTATCTAGTTTGTACTAAAAACTTCAGGTGGAATAAAAACTCATTTTTTATGCTATAGAATAGTGAAAACTTGTAAATATGTTGCTAATTTCATATTTAATATTACCATAATTGATGTTAGGCTACTTTGACTAACCTTATTACCACCCACAAAGACTGAACGGGTCAGGTATTCTGGAAGATGAACTTTTAATTGAACACCATTAACTTCTACTGGCATCATTCTACAGCTACTGTATCTAAGTAATCATGTTCTTTAGGTATAATTCACGATGCTGTCGAAGTTGAACTGTATGAAGCTAAACTGTATAATGAAACAACATCAGTCTCAATGACCAGCTGTATCTCATGGATGCAAACAGCTCCCCATTGTTTTCAAACACAGATTACATCCATCCAGCAGTAGCAGAGAAGCCAGAAAACAAGAGGAAACTTGCGTTTACACACAAATTACTGGTTTCAATTAATAAGATAGTGGAATTATCGAAAAGGATAGCATCCTTAAAGATTGTTTGATCTTGAACTGGCCTCTCCAACTTTCTACTGTTAACATTTCATGAAGACACAATCTGAATAATGGCATTGGATCTACATAGTACAGTGATTCTAATATGCACATTTGATGTGTTAGGAAGTCAAACACTACTAGCCCATCTCAATTTAAATAAAGATATAGTAAGAATCATGCTCTTGCCTCAGTTCTATCTAGAAAATACCAAGAAACAAAATCAAACACAGCCTTCTTAATAAACTGAAATTTGCTTACAGTCTAGATCCTACTTCCACAGATTCTCTTAAACCTATGATAAATTTTATAGTGTTCCGCATTCTAGCCTACACCTTGGTATTATTTGTTTAGTCTTACTTGTAACATTTTATTCTGTGTAACTTTAATACAATAGTTGGAATAACCAAATATAAGCCAGAATTTACAAATACATTAGTGAGAGGAAATCATTTAATTTACAATTAAAAGAGTTCACTATAACAAATCAAAAAATTGTGCACAACAGTTGGTTTAGAATTCACATGAATAAAGACTAAATACTTGCAATCTAAATAAAACTATCTACACAAATTACAAAAGCTTCTCCTAGATTAATGTTTTAAAACATATAACCATTATTGGACATGTAGCAGCATAAATTCAAAAGGTTCAGTGGTGAAATACATTCTATACTGATTGCTAATTATCAAAAACTAAGCTATCATAATAAAAAAAAAGAGTTGAAACTATATAAAGTTTTAAAGTAAAAAAAGAAGTTTTTTACATGAGGTTGCTTTAGTACACTACATATACACTGCAATTCAATAAAAGATAAAAACATTAATATCTATCAAACTTTAAGATGCAAACATCTGTGAATATATAAATTATTTTTAAACAAACATGCACAAGGATCGTTAAGAACACTAGCACGTGGTTATGCTACTCAAAAATAGTTCCAAAGTCCTATTCAATCACAAAACATTGAACACAGTAAATGTATTTCAACAATTCACCATATATGCAAAGTTATTGCACACACATTTTTCCGAAAAACTAATATTGGGGATGAGGCTCATGGAGTAAGGAAATCATTTTATAAGTTCCATTTCAAGGTTAGTGAAAAATGGAGCAAAAGTGTGATTAAATTTTTCTGAGGAGGGGTGCAGAACTTACATCTCAAACAGGGTGTCATCAATGATTGGCACAGCCCTGACTAACCATATTGTGGCTACAAATGCAACACCATATACAAATATCTGGTATAATTCAGTTATGACTTTAATATTTCTTTTGGTCTATCCTGTAATATTAAAGTGATTTACATATAGCTTAATTGTGTTATTACAAACTTCTTTGTAAACTGCTGGTCATTTTTTCCTATTAAAGATTTTTGTAACATAAACATGCCTCATGACATTTTGTATCCAACTGCTGTGAAATCACTATCTAAACACTGTTTATTTTAACACTATTTTTTTTTTATTATTATCAGTAGAAAATGAACCAAAACTGATTACAAATAATAAAACCATGAAATAATACTAGAAAAATAAAAATATTACTAAAATATATTATATAACAGTCTTACCTCTGAGAATAAACAATATATAGTATCACAACAGTAAAAGAACTGAAGATTATACCAACAGCATAAAATACATAATGACAGGTAGAAACACAATAGCCAACTTTCAGGACATCTGAAAAATCTAGTATTCACTCATTAAAGGAGGTGACTTCAAATATTAAGCCCCAGTATTAGGAAGAAATACAGCATGAAAATAACAAAAAGATGAACTCAGTATACAGAATAATTTGTAATTAATCTTCATTCAACTCAACAGGAATACATGTGGAAGAGTGAAAAACTATGGTTTAAAAGGATATTACATAAAAAGATCAAAGGTTGCAAATTATGAATGAAAGCCAGTTGGTTATGAGTGATGACCTGCTTTGTATGAAAGGCAATCAAACAAACAAACACCACAAAACCAAACCTTGTAACTTGTATAACACCTAGTAACACAACTATAGAGCACTAATCCAGAGGTTCAACAGGACTAAGGTACCTAATTTCCTTGCACTATAAAAGTATTATAAAGATGACAGAATGAAAGAAAACAAGTTTAATATATTTGGAAAAAGGCAGGCTAAGCTTCAGTTAACAGTTTTATTTTTCATACAAGGTGATTGATTTATGTAACGAGCTGATGTTACAAGTAGTGGAATCCCACACATACAAGTTTAATCAATGATTTCCTGAAAAGTAAAGGGTATATTTTAATTTATACAAGGATGGGTATTCAAAAAGAGCCTTGAAAGATCAAATGTTCCTTTGTTTTCCATAAGTTATATTAAATCATTTATATCTTTCAGGAGTATCAAATATGGAATTAGAAAATGAATATGAAATAATTGGTTAAAAGAACAACAAAATAAACTGTGTATACTATTTAGCTGGGACCTAAAATGACAATTTGGTTTCATTATTTCAAATATCCTTGCAATGCATTTAACAAGCACTTACATCAACAAACAGCAAAGAAACTATGTAAAGAGAAAAGTGCAGGAAATTCAAATCTTATCTTGTACATTAGAATGGTAAATAACTATCATATTCTAAGTGAATGTCTTTCTCTTTAATCATTTTGTATTCCAATTTCAAAATGTTGTCATATGGCCCACTTCATATACTTTTTTTCTAAATGCATAAAAATTCATACTGCAATAATATCATTTGATATAAATAATCAGTGTTTACAAACCTACATATAAAATCTTGATATATCATTTTGTTTGAAGAGGATAATTTAAAATAGCTCCCACAAAAATGTTGTTTTTTTATATACAATGTAAAACTTATTCTACACTAACCTCATAACATCAGTTCTGCTGACTGTTATAATAATTATTCATAGATATTTATATATAAAACATGAAGGATGTTCTAGGAAAAAAATACCTACCTGCTGAAGCTGTGGATGTCGAAGTCTTGGGTCCTCCCACGTAGTGGTGTGCTCAGCATGGTTGATAAAATAGCTGTAAAGGTAAAATACTAAAATAAATGAAACTTTAAACAATTGCACCAAGTCAGCTTACTTTCAATTCCAAAGAAATTTCTTTGAATAAACAGTCTACTGATGGGATCTACACTTTCATCAGTTCCTAGTGATGTTTTCAAAGAAGATTTTGAAACCAGAGCTGTATACACAAGTACTCTATTTCCACAGACATGTAAGTGCCACATAGGTGATACCTTTGCCATTTGATCTTATGTTCAAACAACTATTCAAGACTTCCTTAAACACCCAAATTCCATCAACTTGAAAAAATAAGATTGACAAAAACAGAAATTTGCCATATCTGTACATCCTCATTCACAGACAAGATATACACAAACAGGTATTTACAGTACAAGTCCAAACATTCACAAGCTATTAAACGATTAATATTATGGATATATTTGAAAAAAAAACAGAAAATCTGCGCTGAAGATCAAGTTAAAGAACTTGACTTCATAGAAAAGTTTTTAAAAAATGGCTACCCTATCAGCTTCATCTCAGTCTCCAAGAAAAGCAAAAATTCCTAGCCTCAACAACAAAACCAATACAAAACCCAATTTACACCATACATCCCTAATTAGGTGAGAAACTCAAGAGGTTAGGTCACAAGTTCAACATAAATGTTTATTTCAAATCTGAAAAACCTTCCTAAACTACCTGTGAAAGTGCTAGAGCCCATCAAAAACTTATAATAAAAAGATCTAATCTACAACATATCATGTTTTTCAGAAATATATACATTGGAGAAGCAAATCAAATTATAGAATAATAAGTAAAAGAACACATGGACAGAACTAGACTGACACACCTGGAAAAATCAACACTGGCAGAACAATTATAAAACAGCCAATTTCATAAACTGAGACCAACATCAGATTGTGGCCACAACTCATCATCAGAAAAACTAAAGATTCTCTTCACATCAAATTACATCAATCTACACTTGACCATGGTGATAGCTTTGACATCAAGAACCTATGGAAAACTCCTCTTACTGAACTACACAGAATGAATGATGACATTATACAGACTCCAAATGTACTTATTCATGTGTAGAAACAAGTACACAGGAAGAAGCTCAGAAGTTTCTATAACCCAAGTATTTCATGCACCATTTTCAAGTTCAAGTGGTGTTATACAGGCACAATCACGTATGGAAAGTTTGGCCACATGCATGAAAAAAGTAACAAATACATTAATTTTAGTGTTCTTACATTGCTACTGACTTTAGAGTAATTGCTGATATCAATCACATTTAAATTTTAAGGCATTACTAATTGACTTGACCCATGGAGACAGTAGATGAGCTCAAAGTTGCCGCATGGCTTCCTGTCTTTGCAGAGACCTCAATCGTGCAATTATCAATGAAATGAGAGTGGTATCAAATTGATTTACATATATGTGGATGAATTGTCAAGCATATTGGTCATAAGTGATTACTTTGGCCTTCATACCTACAGTTTCTAATTAAAAGAAATACAAATTTAATTGGATTATCAAGCAGCTTATTTGCAAAGTGGTGGATGGCTGTTCATGAGCTATTACTTATTGCACCTTAGAAGATAAATGGTAATCAGTAATAAGCCTGATATTTGACTAAGGGATACCTACTTGGACTCGTAAGTATTACATAATGACCACACACTTCTTTAAAAGTGATGAAAGTTGATGTCTTTTACCAGTTTCAAACTGAATATCACAATGCAACAATTTGTTTTCATCCCACCACAAAATCACAAACAAATTGAATACATCCAAAATTAACAAGATGTCATATAATAAAAATGTAAGACACAATTATTACAGATGGCATCAGTGGGATCTCAATTTTTTTCACTTTAATAATTTAAGTGTTCTTCTTCAGAATTTGACACCTATAAGTACTTAACACAATATTGAGAAATTATGTGGAGAACCCTGTAGCTCTATCAAACTCTATCACAGTACAGTGCTAACAAAAAAAAACAAAAAAACACTACACAATTAATAACTTCTGCTTTGACCTGAAGAGGGCCTCAGTACAGAGCTGAAACAGGAGCCCACTCTTGAAACAGGCAGAAACAGACCAATAGCTCTTTCACAGACATCCATGTTTTGAGTTATCAAGAACATAACATAGAATTGACCGAGATCTAGTTAGTACTTTTAAAACTGGTTCTTGTTTTATAAAGTAACGTAGATCCATTTATGATCATTTGTTTCTCATATATACAAATCAGTGGCATTCTGGCTGTTGTTTACCACAAAGAACAAGTTCAAAGTCCTATGCTTTAGTTTTCAAATGTATAGGCTACATAGAACATTGTGCATAAAGTTTTTTTTAACAGTAAGAGAAACTACTGATCTGTTGTTTAATTGAATTGTACATCTTTATCAGTTTTGACTGAACACTAACAAAATAGGCAGAATACACTGTTTTTTTAATCTTTAAAATGTGTAACAGTCAAGGTTCTAAAACTGCATTATAATCTTGATAAAAAGCTTTAGCCAAATCCATATTCAATGTTAAGCCTCTCAAAATGTTTGTCCTACAGGATCTCATACTGGACAATAGTTGATAAATAAACAGAAGCTTTTCTAAGTTTTTATTCTATGTAAGCTATAGATACTGAAGTCCTTGTACATACAGAGTACATTTGAATGCAATATGCATATTTATGTAGCTTAAAATACAGTAGATGAAAAATAAAAGGAAACAGTTCTAGAAAATACATACAGGGTGAGCCTTATGTATGTTTACTCAATTAATGAACCAAAGGCTTATTCAATAAACAAAATAGTGTTTTACTACAGTCACACAAGAGTGGATGAATAACTTTTTACAAGACACTTTTCTTTCTTAGAGTAAGTGTTCAAAACATTTGCCTTCCTCATTTACCCAGAGTTCATGACATTAAATTCTAAGAATTTATAAGTAAAAATAAATAAGAACATGTTTTAATATGTCAACCGATTTACATATGCCAAATTCAGTGCTGACAAGACCTTTCAGCCAATATTGCAGCTTATCAGACCAGTTAGGACATGACAGACACAGCAATAATCTGGGCACTATTTATATCATAAATTTTCATGATCAACAACAGTTATGGTATGAACTAGGTTATGTAAATTATTTTTAATCCCTAACTGTTATTTAAGACATTTACAAATTACGAGGTAGGTAAAAGTATGCATACCACAACCTTTCACAGAGTTGGATTCAAAACTTAATTAAACTACTTTATTATCAATGTATATAAATAAACTCAGCAACAGAACTTACCTAATAAATCAAAGTTTAATATTAGTTGAGTTCTTAAGTTTATAAGGGAATATTTGTTATCTATAGCTTCCTTCTTCTTTTTTTACCACCCTTCCGAGAAGTATGAAATTTATTGCAAATTATTCATATTTTCATAATTCAGGCTAATCATAATTACACAGCCTTCAATTTATTTAGTGACAGAGCAATAAAATCTTCTTGTTTCTTTTCTTTTTCCTCCAACAACTGCAATTGTTTATCCTAAGTTGCTTAAAACTTGTAATAGTATACATCTACTTATGCTTAAATTTTATGGTTTTATTGTTCTTTGTACTGTGTCTAATTATTATTCATGTCATATAAATTGTAAATCATGTGGTGAACATGCAGCATACATTACAGTATTGAATTATATAATATACAGGCTACTCACTAGCATAACTCTTAAAAAGTATTTTTATTTATTTTACTTTGCTAACCTAAAAAATGTTCAATTTTTACATTTTAGTTACTTTTATAATAATAAATAAAGAATACACATAAAACAAGAAATATATTAGTACTACTTATCCGTTTTTTTTGCTTTAACCCTACTTTTTTATACTAAGTGTACTATTGCATTAATTAAATAATACACCAAAGAACACAGAATAATAACATGTAAAAAGGAAACAATGTTCCATGACTATCACAGTTTTTCTGGCTTTCTAATGCTGTTAAACATTCAGCCAAGCTCGTTGTTGTATTTCCTTTGGGAATAAAGTTTGAACTGAAAGGAAAATAGACAATTCTCTGTACAGACAACAATGTAGTATAATACATCATTTTATAGAGAAACACTTGGCTTTCCATTGGTTTTAAATAATGTAGTCTTAAATGTCAGAGAGAACTATTAGCGAGTTCTGAAAGAAGAGGATGTGACAGATGAGCGTGACAAGTGAGTCTAATTTTTAAATGAGAAAAGAAACAAAAAGAGAGATTACAGCAGTTGTTTGAGGAAAAATAAAAGAAACAAGAAGAACGAGAAAAAAACAAAAAGAGAGATTACAGCAGTTGTTGGAGGAAAAAGAAAAGAAACAAGAAGAGAAATTACAGCAGTTGTTGGAGGAAAAAGAAAAGAAACAAGAAGAGAGATTACAGCAATTCTTGGAGGAAAAAGAAAAAAAAACAAGAAGAGAAATTACAGCAGTTGTTGGAGGAAAAAG